GATTCAACAAGGTGCTGGAAGCATTCCTCAGGGAGTTTGGTCCATATTGACATGATGGCATCACACAGTTGCCGCAGATTTGTCGGCTGCACATCCATGATGCGAATCTCCCGTTCCACCACATCCCAAAGATGCTCTATTGGGTTGAGATCTGGTGACTGTGGAGGCCATTTTAGTACAGTGAACTCATTGTCATGTTCAAGAAACCAATTTGAAATGATTAGAGCTTTGTGACATGGTGGAAGTAGCCATCAGAGGATGGGTACATGGTGGCCATAAAGGGATTGACATGGTCAGAAACAATGCTCAGGTAGGCCGTGGCATTTAAACGATGCCCAATTGGCACTAAGGGGCCTAAAGTGTGCCAGGAAAACATCCCCCACACCATTACACCACCACCACCAGCCTGCACAGTGGTAACAAGGCATGATGGTTCCATGTTCTCATTCTGTTTACGCCAAATTCTGACTCTAACATCTGAATGTCTCAACAGAAATCGAGACTCATCAGACCAGGCAACATTTTTCCAGTCTTCAAACTGTTCAATTTTGGTGAGCTCTTGCAAATTGTAGCCTCTTTTTCCTATTTGTAGTGGAGATGAGTGGTACCCGGTGGGGTCTTCTGCTGTTGTAGCCCATCCGCCTCAAGGTTGTGCGTGTTGTGGCTTCACAAATGCTTTGCTGCATACCTCGGTTGTAACGAGTGGTTATTTCAGTCACTGTTGCCCTTCTATCAGCTCGAACCAGTCTGGCCATTCTCCTCTGACCTCTGGCATCAACAAGGCATTTCCGCCCACAGAACTGCCGCTCACTGGATGTTTTTTCTTTTTCGGACCATTCTCTGTAAACCCTAGAGATGGTTGTGCGTGAAAATCCCAGTAGATTAGCAGTTTCTGAAATACTCAGACCAGCCCTTCTGGCACCAACAATCATGCCACGTTCAAAGTCACTCAAATCAACTTTCTTCCCCATACTGATGCTCGGTTTGAACTGCAGGAGATTGTCTTGACCATGTCTACATGCCTAAATGCACTGAGTTGCCGCCATGTGATTGGCTGCTTAGAAATTAAGTGTTAACGAGCAGTTGGACAGGTGTACCTAATAAAGTGGCCGGTGAGTGTATATATATGGTGTATATAATATACCATATATATATATATAATATGATATATATATATATATGGTGTATATAATATATATCTGTATATAATATACAGATTTATATTATAAATATATATATATATAATATAAATCTGTACACAATATTTGTGGAATCATTTCCACTGCAACAAACAATTGTCACATAAAATGTTTTATTAAAATGAATCCATGAGAGTGTGAAAAGAGTGTTTTAAGAGACATTACTTTCTTAAGTTGCACAGGGACAAAAGTGTTCAGTTAAAAAAACACCCTTCTATTTTCTTAGTAATTTTTCTTAAAAAGGATGTAAGATTGGCCCATAATTGCTGAGTGTCAAATGATGTACATTTTAAAAGCATGTAAAGTAGCTTCCTCTAATTGGGGATGATACCACAGAAAGGTTGATTTGCATAATTCAAATGAGCTTGGTTTATAAACAGCTTAATATAGCTAACGGAAGCTGTAAACATGTTACATTTTAATTAATATGGATTTGAGGGTCGGGGTCTATCAGGGTCTACTCACAACTAAGAAAAACGCTAAATTTAAGCACTAGGGATTTAAGGAATAATTTCACTTCTGATTTAATTTCACTCACATAGACAGATACTTATTGGTTATATAGTGGGTTAAATTACAAAACATACAAAATCAAAAATTGACAAAGTTTCAAGTATAGTATTACAACAGTCATTGTGGATTTTCTGCAAGTATTTTGGTATATTTTATATTAATATTCTTTAATATTCATCTGTTGTAGTACCTGTTAAAAAAAACTGAAAAACATATTAGGGCTGCAAGATATTGAATAAAAATTCGATAAATTGTTGACAATAACAATTCTAGATTATCAATAATGAATCAAAACATCTAAAAGGAATAGCAGCATGAGGTGGAGCTGAAGAGTAAATGAACACCAGTAAATTGAAGCCCATTTTATATAATATATACACAATGTAAACGTAACATTACAACTTGTACAGTATCTGCACAGAAGGACGAAAATGCAAGTGAACTGTCTGAATGTGTAACTCCCGTTGTGGATGCGCTCATCCAGTTACAATGCGCTGAAACTCGGGCAACATTCTATTACAATAGTGCTCTCATTATAATGTTATGTATATGGCAAATTGGTGAAATGTACTTAACTGTTTTTTTCATGATCAAAATGATTCCAGGTGCGCTTTCAAAGCGCTTTCAAAGCTTTTCATACACTCTTGAATACTCTCTTGAGTAGGTACTTATTTTGAATAAGTAATTACTTCACGACCACTAAAAAGTATGCTCTAAATAGTTCGAATGTGTGGAGTATGAATGTAATCTAGACGTACATTCGCCATGTTGTCATTATCATGTGATCTACCAGCATCAGTTGTGTTGCTTCACTCACTGCCATTCACAAATCCTCTCTCGTGGCCTCATGGGATAGTAAAGTGTCCATCGTAGGAACACATGAGAATCTTGCCGAAAGAAGTAGGTCATCCGGGTCCTTTTTGCCGACTCTTTTATGAGTACTGTGAATTCGGACATCCTTCTTTTGTCACATACTGTTTTTCGCCTACTATATAGTAGGGAAGTATGCGATTTTGGATGCAGCCATAGTTTCACTTTATTTCACCAGTATGGACTGCATGCTGTCCTAACGCTAAACAATCAGACCTCAGGTACCACTCAAAATGCAGCAATAACCAACAGAAAAAAAAAGATATACTTTTTAAAGTCACGTCGATCATCATTCGTCGCTGTCACATTCAAGTACTCATGCACATCCCCAATATACACTCACCTAAAGGATTATTAGGAACACCTGGGGCACGTTCAAGATCACAGCGGTGCGTAACGTTTTGCTACGGTTTCCGGGTTGAACATCATGTTTCCTGGAAACGGCGTGCACCGGTGTGCAACGGGGTTTGAGATGCGTTTTCTCTTGTTTGGTGGGCGTGTCAGAACTGCAGTCCAATCAACAGCAACATGTATATAAAGCACACGGTATTAAAGAGAACTCGCACAATGGAAGTAATTTACAAATGTGTTCGATACGCAACAACTGAGGATATTAGAAGACATGTTTGTCGTAAGTATTATTGTAAAAATATAGGATATCCTAATGATTTAGTTGTTTATATTTTTAGCTTCATTGCAAGTGTGTGACATTGGTAAAGAAATAAACAATGCATGTAAAGGGATTTTCCTAAAAATGAGAAAGAAAATACAGGGTATTAGTAAAACAGTATGAACAACAAATAAAGTCAGTATGTGAGGCTAAATAGATGTGTTTTAGTCTTTATTAGGTAAGATGTGCTTCCATTTCAGTTTCCACAAATCCCTTCACTCGATTGGGATGTTCTCTTGTGTTCTGGGCGGCAAGTGCAGTTACTGTAACATCGGGCATATTTTGTAGTATTAATATTTATACCGACTTCAACAGGCTCCGAAAATTCTTCACAAAGAACACAAAAAACCTTCTCAGCTGCCGTAGTTGCAACTCTTGCGTCATCACAACAGTGCGTTCAACGCATCACCGTTTCTGTTTAAAAAAACGTTCTGCAACGTTTTGTCGGCGCTGAACGCAGCCCAGTTCAATTTCTCATTAATGCAATTATCTAATCAACCAATCACATGGTAGTTGCTTCCATGCATTTAGGGGTGTGGTCCTGGTCAAGACAATCTCCTGAACTCCAAACTGAATGTCAGAATGGGAAAGAAAGGTGATTTAAGCAATTTTGAGCGTGGCATGGTTGTTGGTGCCAGACGGGCCGGTCTGAGTATTTCACAATCTGCTCAGTTAATGGGATTTTCACGCACAACCATTTCTAGGGTTTACAAAGAATGGTGTGAAAAGGGAAAAACATCCAGTATGCGGCAGTCCTGTGGTCGAAAATGCCTTGTTGATGCTAGAGGTCAGAGGAGAATGGGCCGACTGATTCAAGCTGATAGAAGAGCAACTTTGACTGAAATAACCACTCGTTACAACCGAGGTATGCAGCAAAGCATTTGTGAAGCCACAACACGCACAACCTGGAGGCGGATGGGCTACAACAGCAGAAGACCCCACCGGGTACCACTCATCTCCACTACAAATAGGAAAAAGAGGCTACAATTTGCAAGAGCTCACCAAAATTGGACAGTTGAAGACTGGAATAATGTTGCCTGGTCTGATGAGTTTCGATTTCTGTTGAGACATTCAGATGGTAGAGTCAGAATTTGGCGTAAACAGAATGAGAACATGGATCCATCATGCCTTGTTACCACTGTGCAGGCTGGTGGTGGTGGTGTAATGGTGTGGGGGATGTTTTCTTGGCACACTTTAGGCCCCTTAGTGCCAATTGGGCATTGTTTAAATGCCACGGCCTACCTGAGAATTGTTTCTGACCATGTCCGTCCCTTTATGGCCACCATGTACCCATCCTCTGATGGCTACTGATGGCTAGATCTCAATCCAATAGAGCATCTTTGGGATGTGGTGGATTTTTTTCACATATAATTAAGGCAGTTCTGAAGGCGAAAGGGGGTCAAACACAGTATTAGTATGGTGTTCCTAATAATCCTTTAGGTGAGTGTATATAGTTTTCAAATGTCTAGCAGTGATTGTATAATAAATATACAATATATATATATATATATATATATATTCATAGTACCATATTCAAGTATTTTGTTTTCTGGTAAATCATTAAAACCAGAAAAATATCACCAGCTAAGCTTGTTTTCAGAAAATATCAAATTTGGTCTTGTAGCACCCGCACATTTTAAGAATATAATTTTTTGCAGTGCCTGCACTGTACCGTCAATCATGTTGACAAATCTTAGCAAAATCCATCTGGCTCTGGTGTCTTTATCAAGCATCTGAGAGTAACTCACATCATCAGGGAACTAGAGCTTGCAGTTTCCTGTTCCGAAGGCAGAAGGTGGAGATATCTGGAAATCTAAGCATGGCAATAAACTTCACAGGGAAGGAATCACAGGGTGTGACCCTCAAGCCCGGACTGAGATGCCATCTTAAAGTCTGGCCCGAATGAGTTTGTGCAAATAGCACAGGAAGTAAAGCCCCCTGAGGACAGCTCAAGGTTAAAAGCCCACATAAGGAGCCAGCAGCGTAGAAGAAATACATCTGCAAAACACAGAATTAAAAAAAGTCCTTTTTAATGAGCCATTAAAGCAAATATTCCCCCATATACACATAACATTTTCTGAATTATTTTTGTTTTTTTTAGTAACAATAACTGAGCAACCATTAAGCAACATAGCATTAATTGGGAAGCAAAACTGTACAAGTCTTGTTTTCATAGATTGCATCTTGAATGAAGTTTATTTTTTTCATACCGTAGGCAAAATGTTTTTTTTTACTTCTTGAACCTCACTCAATTTGGTTAGGTTTAAGCTTGCAACAAGAGAAAAATTAGTTGCCAATGTGGTATTACAAATAATTCATTCACGTATGTTCCCTGAAAACAAGTTTTAATGCATTACTCAATTTTGCTTCTCATTTTTCTAAGGAGGTTTAGATCTTTCTATTGGAAAACATTATAAAAAATAAATGCACTAGAATGATGTTTCCTTTCTACCTCCTCTCCAAAAGTGGTTTGTAACATTCATGAAAGTCTTTAATGAGGCTCTAAAAGTCTCTTTCTTCACTTTCTCCACATTCACAGGGAAACAGGTCTCATCTCTTCTGGGCTGCTTAAGCAAAACTGTGAAAATTTATTCTGAATGCTATTTAAAACACGAAATAAAATCCCATAGAGCTAGAGGCTGGCGCTCAGACAGACGTGCATCTGCCGTCAGCGTTGCCTTGCTTCTTCACTTCAAAGAAACAGATTTCCCATCCGCAAAAAAAGGCCACAGGGATGATTTACCGTACTGAAGATCCCATAAAAAAAACCTTGTGCATCACATCCATACAAAGTTTCCTATTCCTGAGCCCAAATCAGGGGGTGAGGGCATGTTTAATGGTGTCACCTGCAAATAGGTTGAAGCTATCAGCTTTCCCTTTGCTCCTATAAACATAAAACGGTTTTGGTGCAGTGGGATCACCTATTAAACCTTCAACACACACACACACACACAAGTTCTCTCATCAGCAGAGAAATGACAGCCCTTTCATCTCACATCCCCATAATCCGCTCTCATTAGCGGCACTGAGCGAAAGTAGAGGGCGGACACGCGGGATGAAGGAGAAGCGTCGATGCTTGTGAAACAGTGAACCATGGCCGTACAAAAAACAATCCCTCCCTTCTCCGCTGTCGCACACACCAGGGACCCTCCGTGTCTGCATACAGCCAGAGACACACACTAATTAAAGGAAACCTTGGATGAGCCTGGTGAGATCTGCAGTTCTTCCTTATCTCCTGCTCCTCCGGTCTGCCTCCGAAGACGTGTTAAAGAAACAAACAAACATTAGGTGGGAATATAACCAGCAAACGCAAGAGCGGGCTTCTCTTGAGGCAGCTTCGACGTACATGCATCTCCGAGTCCCTCGTAATAATGCAGTGCTAAGCTCTCGCACTGTGCTTTTTCAACCCTGACAAGGCTGGAATGATATGACAGTCGAGTGCCAAGAATGTTATAAACCTCAGAGTGCCAATGAAAAGAAGATGGGGCATTTTTATAAGGCATGAAGGTGAAGATGACATCTTGTTTCCTGATGAAGATGAGCAGGGTTGAAAATGTCATTATAAAATTATATTTTTAAGTCTGTCAAAGCTAACACTTATATAGACACTCGTTTTGGGGTCGGTAAGAATTTGTAATGTTTTCGAAAGAAGACTTATGCTCAAAGCTGCATTAATTTGATCAAAAATACAGTAAAAACAGCAATATTCTGAAATATTATTACGATTTAAAACTGTGATGTAAAGCTGAATTTTCAGCATCATTACTCCAGTCTTCAGTGTCACATGATCCTTCAGAAAATCATTCTAATATGCTGATTTGCTGCTCAAGAATCATTTCTTATTATCATCAATGTTAAAAACCGTTGTGCTGCTTCATATTTTTGTGGAAACCGTTCGGGATTCTTTGATCAATTGACAGCATTTATTTGTAATAGAAATCTTTTGTACCATTATAAATGTCTTTACTGTCATTTTGATCAATTTAATGCATCCTTGCTAAATAAAAATTCATATTAATTTTAAAATGTTTTACTCCAAGCAGTAGTGGTAGTGTATTTAACAAAGCACTGCAAAACATTATTAAATAAATACAATTAAAATTATTTTTATGATTCTTTATCACAACTTGTTATCTTTTGTCAAATCAACTTAAATAATTAATGTGGTTCAAATAATATAATATTTTAAGTTTCTATTAAACCAATCTCCTTTGTTGTATTAACTCAAATTTTTAATTTCAATGAACTCAAAAATTGAAGGTTACCTGTGTCATGATTCTGCCCTCGTGTCCTTGATTTTCTCTTGTCTTGAGGCAGGATCGTGACAGAACCATGTTTTGTGTGCAAGCACATGGTCTTGTGTTTTGAGCCATGTGCTTGTGTTGTCTCGTTACGTTACCCCGCCCCCTTGTTATCCTCGTCTCGTCATTATTGTCTAGTCAGTTTCACCTGTCTTTGTCTAGTCGGCTTCACCTGTCTTTGTCATTAGTGTCTCCCTATTTAATCCCCTTGTGTTTGCTGTCCTGTGTCGGTACATTGTCTAACTTTGCGTGTATATCCCTGTGAGTATTTTACCTGAAAACCTGTTCAATTAATTGTGAGTTTGCTTCTTGTCAAGTCAGAATCTTGTTTGTCATCGTGTCCTAGTTTAGTTGTACTCTGCTCCAGTCCTGTTTTGCCCCCTCGTGGGTTTTTGTTTTCTGTTTGTGTCAGAATAAACGTTTAGTGTCTGCAAATTGTCTATGTTTGGGTTCGTTCCTCAACTTCATGACAGAATGTACCGACCATCAAAGAACCCAGCAGACAGTATGTCCTTCCAATCGGAGTTCCGGAAGCGATGCTGGTCGTCCGCACCAACCAACGGTGAACGGGTCATTTGCCCTATCCCGTACCAGGGTGAGCAGATCATGAGGGATTATGCCCATCTATGGGATCTCTTTTCCCGGGAGGATCTGCAGGCCTCTTCCACGGGCTCTCCACCCTCTGCTAGTCTGCCGGTGATCCCGGAGGGTCGTGTTATAGGCGTCGCGACGCTTGGGGACCAGGCTGGCTCCCTCACGACTCCTGGCACTTCATCTACCCCCTTCAATCTTCGTGGAAAACGAGGAAGACGGCTGTCGTGGGAGTCGGCGTCAGAGTCCTCCTCCGCTGAGTCTGCTGTACCTGCGGTGGTTTCCGCTGAGCTTCCCCAACCCGTCTCAGCTCCGACGATGGTCTCTGCTTCACGACCTAGGAGGAAGAGGGGAGCCTCCCGTTCTTCGCCAGCTGCAGTCACAGGGCCCGCTGCAGTCACAGGGCCCGCTGCAGTCACAGGGCCCGCTGCAGTCACTGAGCCCGCTGCAGTCACAGAGCCCGCTGCAGTCACAGAGCCCGCTGCAGTCACAGGGCCCGCTGTAGTCACTGAGCCCGCTGCAGTCACAGAGCCCGCTGCAGTCACTGGGCCCGCTGCAGTCACTGAGCCCGCTGCAGTCACAGAGCCCGCTGCAGTCACTGAGCCCGCTGCAGTCACTGAGCCCGCTGCAGTCACAGGGCCCGCTGCAGTCACTGAGCCCGCTGCAGTCACAGAGCCCGCTGCAGTCACAGAGCCCGCTGCAGTCACAGGGCCCGCTGTAGTCACTGAGCCCGCTGCAGTCACAGAGCCCGCTGCAGTCACTGGGCCCGCTGCAGTCACTGAGCCCGCTGCAGTCACAGAGCCCGCTGCAGTCACTGAGCCCGCTGCAGTCACAGAGCCCGCTGCAGTCACAGAGCCCGCTGCAGTCACAGAGCCCGCTGCAGTCACAGAGCCCGCTGCAGTCACAGAGCCCGCTGCAGTCACAGAGCCCGCTGCAGTCACAGAGCCCGCTGCAGTCACAGGGCCCGCTGCAGTCACAGGGCCCGCTGCAGTCACAGGGCCCGCTGCAGTCACAGGGCCCGCTGCAGTCACTGAGCCCGCTGCAGTCACAGAGCCCGCTGCAGTCACTGAGCCCGCTGCAGTCACTGAGCCCGCTGCAGTCACTGAGCCCGCTGCAGTCACTGAGCCCGCTGCAGTCACTGAGCCCGCTGCAGTCACAGAGCCCGCTGCAGTCACTGAGCCCGCTGCAGTCACTGAGCCCGCTGCAGTCACTGAGCCCGCTGCAGTCACTGAGCCCGCTGCAATCACAGAGCCCGCTGCAGTCACTGAGCCCGCTGCAGTCACTGAGCCCGCTGCAGTCACAGAGCCCGCTGCAGTCACTGAGCCCGCTGCAGTCACTGGGCCCGCTGCGGTCACTGGGCCCGCTGCGGTCACAGAGCCCGCTGCGGTCACAGAGCCCGCTGCGGTCACAGAGCCCACAGAGCCCGCTGCGGTCACAGAGCCCGCTGCGGTCACAGAGCCCGCTGCAGTCACAGAGCCCGCTGCAGTCACAGAGCCCGCTGCAGTCACAGAGCCCGCTGCAGTCACAGAGCCCGCTGCAGTCACAGAGCCCGCTGCAGTCACAGAGCCCGCTGCAGTCACAGAGCCCGCTGCAGTCACAGAGCCCGCTGCAGTCACAGAGCCCGCTGCAGTCACTGAGCCCGCTGCACTGAGCCCGCTGCAGTCACTGAGCCCGCTGCAGACAGTGTTTCTTCCGAGTCTGATTTGAGCGCTTCATCCGAGTCTGTTTTCTTGTGTGCCGAGTCTGATTCAGTGAGTTCTGTTCCCGCTCCACAGCCGTCTGCTACGTCCCCTGTTATGTGTCCTGTTCCTTTTCCCGCTGTTTCCCCAGTCAGAAGTCTTGTCTCGCCACCCTCAGCTTCCCCTGTCGTGATTCC